TTTTTTGGGGGGTAAGGTGGGTGGGTATATTTTTTGGGGGTAAGGTGGGTGGGTATATTTTTTGGGGGGGTAAGGTGGGTATATTTTTGGTTGGCCCTTTGGGACTGCTGCTTCATTGGGGGCATCTATCAAGGTTCCTTTGGTGGCCTACTGGTAAGAAGCTGAGCTGCAATCTCAAAGGCAGGGAGTTCAAATCCAACAGCTGCTTCGTGGGAGAAGGATGGGCAGTCTCCTCCTGTGTGATTTACTGTCTCTGAACACCCACTGGAGGGTCAGGTATGAATCAATTCTGACTCATGGCAAACAGCATTAACCTCCTGTGGATGGCCTTCTGCCCCCTGCATCCCTTGGGGTCTTGGAGGTCAGAAACCAGGCAGGCTCAGAGCACAGGGCTGGCTTCTGCCCCATAGCCATCTCCCCTGGCTTTCCAGTATTTCTGTGCGTCTGCCCTTTGACAAGGTTCTCAGGTTGCTTCTCCAGCTAGACTGGGCCTGAAAGGCACCAAGACTCCGAGCACGTGTGTCCTAGAGTCTCTGCTCTACACACCCCTCACGCCAGCTATGCTGGGCCATCAGACACCAGGAGCCCTGGAGTCTCTGCTCCCCAGCCCCACCATGCCAGCCCTCTCCCCAAGCCCAGAACCCCTCCCCAAGCTCTGAACCCCACTCTCTGTGCCCCATTGGCCCCTCACCACACATACACACTCCTCCTCTGCACGCTTTCCTCATTCTGCCTCCCAGGCCTCCTGAAATGAAGCCAGGCTGAGGAATGTCTCCCCTCACTGTGCTCTGGGTCTCCCACTTGCTCGAGTCCACGGGTCCTCTGTCTCTGCCTCGAGCACTGAACCCACCCGGGCTGTTTAGGCCCCCAAGACCCGGCCTAAGCTCCTGTACCATGCTTGGGGGGGGGGCCTCCAGGATCTGTGTCCACGTGGCCCCCACCTGAAGGGGCTCCACTTGGTGACTGGTGGCCCCTACCCATCCTATCTGACCTGAATCTAACTCAGGCAGCCCGGGTATATTAGCTAGTGGGAATTGTGTGGGATCCCCCCACTCAGAACAGCCTCTCTGAGCACCAATACTGGAGGCCGGGGAGTGTGCTGGGGGGGTCAGGGAAGTGAGCTGGGGGGTCAGGGGAGTGTGCTGGGGGGTCAGGGGAGTGTGCTGGGGGGTCAGGGGAGTGTGCTGGGGGGTCAGGGGAGTGTGCTGGGGGGTCAGGGGAGTGTGCTGGGGAGTCAGGGGAGTGTGCTGGGGAGCAAGGAAAGGGGCCGGGGGGTCAGGGAAATGTGCTGGGGGGTCAGGGAAATGTGCTGGGGGGGTCAGGGGAATGTGCTGGGGGGTCAGGGAAATGTGCTGGGGGAGTCTGCTGGGGGGGGTCAGGGGAGTGTGCTGGGGGCTTACCCTGGGGCCCAGGGCCCCCTCCCCGTGACCTCCTGTGTTCTGAGTTCTCACCTGCGCCGTGAGTCCCCTGTGATCCCCTGTGTTCTCCTGTGACCCCTTGCACCCTCTGCCGCGCTTCCTGGCCATCTTCCACCTTGGCGGGTCCCCACCGCCTATGGGCCCTCGCTCTGCCCACGCTCGCTCAGCCTGGGTTGGAGGTGCCTGCGGATGGGGCCCGGCGGCTCAGCCTCTCTCTCTCTCCCAAGGGCGCCCCCGGGACCTCGCCTCAACGTGCCTAGTGTGCTGCGGGCCCTTCCAGCCGGCGCAGCCCTGCAAGCGCTGCCGCTCGTTTGGCGCCTCGGTGCAGCAGGGCGCGTCCTTCCTGCCGCTGGGCGACGGGCAGGGCGGCCGGTGACGCGCCAGCGGACGGACCGCGGGACCAGGGCGCAGCGGACAGCACTCGGACAGGTCTCGGGCCCAGCGCGGACACCAGAGACCAAGGATTGTCTACAGAGCTATTTTAGAGGAACGCGCGTCCCTGGAGTGATTCTTGTGCATCCGGGGAGCCCCCGCCCGGGCACAGCGTCCTCACACCTGCTCTCCACTCCCACCCGGGACCCTCTACCTCCCCCCATGGCCCGGGCTGCACTCCACACCTGCACTTGGGGCAGTGGAGGGAAGGACAGTCATCCCCCCCCTGCAAGAGTCCCCCCAGTCAGGTCAGCTCCCCCCCAGTCAGGCTAGCTCCATCCCCCCATCAGGCCAGTTCACCCTCAGCGGGCCAGCTCCCCCCGAGTCGGGCCAGGTCCCCGCCCCCATCCTGCTCCCCTGCGCTGTGCCCATTTCTCCACCACCCACACTTGCTCTCAGTAGCAGCTAGCCCTGGTCTCCGTCTCAGGAGGGCCCCTTCTAGGCTGGGTGGGATCTGGACAGGGACTCCAGGATTCTGCGGGAGTTTGTCCCCGGGTCTGGTGACCAGAGGCCAGGGGCCATGATGGAGAACCCCCCTCAGCCCCTCTGGGCTCAGGCTGGGGCCCCACCACGGAGCCTGGTAGGGGCAGGGCTGTTGGCTGAGAGGAGTCACTGGGAAGGAAGGTCTGTACACATCTGGGATCTGGGGGTCTTTACCCGCCCCCTTCAGAGGCAGCCCCATGGCTCCAGAAGGCACTGGGGGACAATGGGAAGGGCCAAGCTGGTCTTCCCAGGCCCCCACCAGACCGCGAGAGCTTTGTGGGATTGCTCACTTCTGGGAGACGCAGATGGGCGAGGCGGGTGGATGGGGTGGGGGGGCAGATGGGGCAGAGGACAG